AAAAAATTAATTGTTTTTTACATGCATTTAGTATTCCATAGAAAATGTATTGTTCAATATTATTTTATTAATAAATAAACTAAAAAATGGTCATTTCATATAGAAATTGCTTATAGTAGGTATTTTGTATAAATTATTACTAACATAACTAAAACATAAACAGGATCTAATTGATAGTACAGTGGGGCCAAACAAAAATGAAACGACTTTGAAAGTAATTTGTGAACAATGTATTGAATACACACACATGAAAACAGCTCTAAACTGTAGCTTATTTATCAAACATTCATTTGATATGTTATTTGACAACATAAACTCAAAAATATATTATTTTAAATAATTTTTGTGAATGGCCTCTCACTAAATGTTTCCGGACAAATTTTGAAATATTTTCATCTAAAATAGTATTTATACAAATAAATTATTACAAATCTTTATAAAACTACTTAAATTAGTACTAAAACAACATTTTAAATCAATAAAATATTATATAAATGTTAATAGACATTTATAAAATAAGTTTGAAATTTTATGAAAATCGACATTTTTCACTGTTGTGGAATATAGAATTTTCCATAGGCTGAAAATACTTGGTTAGAGGTGATTTACAAAAAATAATGAAAATAATTTATTTATTGAGTTTTTGTTGTCAAATAACATATCAAATGAATGTTTGATAAATAAGCTACAGTTTAGAGCTGTTTTCATGTGTGTATTCAATACATTGTTCACAAATTACTTTCAAAGTCGTTTCATTTTTGTTTGGCCCCACTGTATATTCAATAACCAAATGTCAGACATCACCAACTAACTGTACCAATTATGAAACTACAAAGCTAAAATGTTTGGCCCAAGATTAACTACAGTATTGTAAAATGGTATTGATAGCAAATTTTTGTACATTGAATTAAAACCCATATCAGTGATATGATATCACACTCATTGTCAAAACCCTACATAAATATGATACAGTATATATAACATTATACTACAAAACAATTACTGTACCGTATAAGTATCGTATACAGTATAAGTTTATACTGTATAAAAGTTTTTTGGTTAGAATGCAAAATATAACACTATATATTAAATGTCAATATATTAAGTTATCACCTCATGTATAAGTTAAGACCTCATACATAGAGATACAATTAAGTTAGTATTGTTCACATCTACAATAGATTTACAGTATACATTTGATAGTAAATATGTTTTTAAATAACTTTTTCAATGACTTCATCAGAAATCATACATTCATTTACTTCACCGTTATTTCCAACTAAAATACCGTTCAGAATATTCAGCGAAAGCAAGACTAATGAGTCTAATGAATGTAATGTCAGTTATAAGACTATTAGGATATACTCTGTGGAAGAATGGTATGGAATCCTCACTACAAGTAATGACACCACTTCTGAAAGAGATTTTTGGCAAACCATCAAAATAATTAATTTTCCTTTTGAAATAATTGGTTGTTTAGTTAAAGTGTGTATTTTAAAAAGATGTTATTGTAATAAGAAAATACAGTATTATTCGCTATCTTTTACTAATGTGAACATAACAACAATGATAAACATTGATAAATAAAAGGTTAGGGATGAACATAATATATTATGTGACTATCGTATAAAACTAATCCTTTGCCATATGGGAGTTTTTGAGGTGCTCCCATAAGGCGGCGTGCACAAAGTACATACGCACTGGTAGGGGGAGGGGGGGTCATGCCAAAGCTATGTCACCTTGTTAAATTCCTATGTACGATGGGTGTGTAGGGGGG